CAGCGTCGTCACACAGCAGGGGGCTCAGGGGCTTCACAGGGTCACACCCCTCCCCACCCAACCCGAGCTGGTTCTCGGGCTCTGCCAGCGCAGGGCTCCCACGCACCTGTGCCCACTCTTCTTCTGTGGCCAGTGCGGCCTCTACTGAGGGGACGTGTGGAGCAGCCTGAGCCTTGTCACCACCGTCAGGGAAGACGTGGGTCCAGCCTGGCCCTGCACAGGCCTCAAGGAGGCCAGCCGCGACTGCCCCCAAGAGCTCCACTCCTCCCTTCACRCTCCGTAACTAGTGAACAAGGAGTAAATAAAGGGAATTGCCACCTGACGCCACTCACCCGGGTCGGCACGAGCTAGGGATTTGGGGTTTCCCTGGTGTGGAGTGTGCTGGCCGAGAGACAGGATGAAACACCCCACAACACAGAAGGGATCTGGGAGCTGAGGGCAAGACGGCTCTGTGACCTTAGGGTCAAGCTTCCACTCTGGAAAGAGGGTCTGAGCCCGTGTTTGGTTTATTGTATAACAGGGACATCGAAGGCGGAGATGAGGTTTCAGGGGCAGACTTTCTTTGTGGTGTGGCATCGTGACTGGCATCTTGGCAGGTCACACCCCTCTCAGGTGCTGCGTGGGATCCTAGGCGGAGCCCGAGGGGGAGGCTCACCTGCATCAGGTGATCGGTCCCTGACAGGGAGTTCCGGTGCCAGACCTCGCCCCTCACAGTCCGCACACGGCCCACGGGCCGCTCGTGACAGGGAACAGCAGCGTGTGTTCCGAGTGTGCCGAGGCTCAGAGGTCCCAGCCAGAGTGTCAGTCAGAGTCTTGATGCATCCCTAGGACGCACTCTGACCTGAGCAGCGGGTCAAGGACAGAACGAAAGGGGATGACAGTTTTCCCCTGCCTCAGCTCAGGTACCACTCAGCTAAGATCTGGGGTCACCTGTTCTGCAGGATCTAGGTAGGATTTGCTCAGAAGAAGCCCCAAATCTGTCTCAAGGGCCACTGTTTTCATAATCATCTCTGCCTCTAAGCACAGAGGGGCAAATCACCCCTCCTAGAGAGTGGCATAACTTTTAACTGACACCCTCCCCACCTTCCCCATGCAACCCTCATCCCATAAAAAAGGTCTATTATTTATCTCCCTTTTGCAAAGAAAGAGATCATTAGTTGCCCAAAGTCATGCAGCTAATGGGCGAGGAAGGTAGAATCAACCCAAATTATGGGCCTCGCAGCCCAGTGCTCTTTCCGCTACACACAGCTAAGCAGGGCAGACTAGAAGGCTCTCTGGGAATAGCACTCGGCATGGAAAACGGCTTTCCCAGTAGACCCAGTCATTCCTGCATCCAAAATGTGCAAAACACCAGAGAGCCGGAGTGGACCTTAGTAAAGGCATAAGATCTCAGCCTGCAAATGGCCTGTAAGCTAGTGAAGGAGGAAGTGTACCCACAGGATACCAGTGTATTAATCCACACAGGCACCTCAGGGCAGCAGGCCTGAGGAAGGCCAAAGAAGAACATGCAATGTGGAGTCCATCCTGGAGGGCTCCCTGGGGGAAGTGAGGGCCTCTTTATTCTCTTTTGGTTTGAGTTGGATCTGAGATGCAGAAAAAGACGAAGTAATTACACTCCTCAGATCAGAGCACATCTTTCCATGAAAAGTCCCTCTCTTATTTTCTTTTTCTCTTTTATTCTCACCTCTGCATTCGTTCCCCTCTTTCCATAGGCAGCCACCAGTGGTCGAGTTCCTCTGAGTTCAGTCCCCAGGAACCACCCCCACACTCACACAATAAAACTGTTTTAAATTCTCTGAGTTCTCCCAAACTGGTTATTAGTTGATCAGTTTCTGGGTACTATCTTTTTAATTTTTTTGGTACTAGGGATTGAATGAACCCAGGGGCACTTGACCACTGAGCCCCAGCCCCAGCCCTGTTTTTTTATATTTTATTTAGAAACAGGGTCTTGCTAAGTTGCTGAGGCTGGCTTTGAACTCATGATCCTCCTGCCTCAGCCTTCCAAGTCGCTGGGGTTACAGGCATGCACCACCATGCCCGGCTCTCTGGGCACTACACTTTGAATATTAGGTTGGATCCTGGTTTCCTGAAAGCTCCAGATGTTTACTGGTGTGCGATGGGGTCTGGGCATTGAAGGCTCAGGTGTGTTCCAGTCTCCCTCTTCCAGCTTTGGTGGTACCTGTCTTCCTGGACCTTCTCCTCGGGCTGCTTATTCTCTCTGAGCTTTCTAGCACTGGTCACTTCCACTGCTTCAGCACTGGATGGTGTCCAGGTGGGGGTTTGTAGGAGTCTGCGATTGGTGTGTCGTCACTGTTTCCGTATCAGAAGGCATGACTGTCCATCCAACTTGGAGTGTCTGTGGGGAGACAGTCACCTGGGATCTTACCTAGCTGCCATGTAGCTCCCCCTCTTCTTAATTCTCCTGTTAGCCCTTAGGGTCACCCCTTCTGAAAACCACCTGCCCCTGGCCCATCATTACATCCCCGTCCTTGGGTTTTTTGCCTTTGGTGATTTGCAAGAGTTCCCCGTCTCCTAGAGAGGCTCCTTCTCACACAGCGCTCTCCTGGGAGCTGCTGTGATTGCCTATCTGGGGCAAAGGGACCTGTGCGGTCACCACCTCTTCCAACGCTTATTCTCTAGTCGGGGCTTGGAAGTGGGCAGAGACACGATCAAAGGGAAAGGACCCTTTTCTTTCCTCCCCTCTGCCGGCTTTGCCTGAGGACCGAGGTCCGAGAAGACGGGTCACAAGGGGCAACGCAGCTCCTCTTCTCTGGGGCGCTAACCTGCCAGTCAATTTGAGTTGATAAGCGGTTGGAAGGCCTAATTGGGTCAGAAGACCCTGAGATGGCTGGCACAGAGGCCCACTCGATCACCCACGTTCCCCGGGGCCACGGGGCGCAGGGCAGTGCCTGTCCATCACACGTGCTGGGCAGTGGCTGCTGCGTTTCCTGCCAGTGTCTGCCCAGACTGGGAGGTGAGGTGACTCTGTGACTCTAATCCAGTGACGCTGATTCACTGAGGGTCCTTCAGAGAGAGCAGAGTGGAAGACGTTCTATCACGGTGGCTTTTAACGTCCCTCCCAGCCTCTGCTGGCAGAATGCCTCTGGGGCCCTCCCATCCTGACCTCATTACGGGTGCCATTCCCCAGACGGATGTGCCCTTGACTCTTCTTAGGCTCCCTTCCTCCTCCTGACCTCTGGCCCACTTGCCTAAAGGACACAGAATTCAAAGCCAGTCTTGCTGTGGGCAAGATAGGGCTTCACTAAGTTGCTTAGGGTCTTGCTAAAGTTGCTGCGCCTGGCCTCAAACTTGCGATTCTCCTGCCTCGGCCTCCAGAGCTGGAAATACAGCTTGCACCACTTCACCTGGCTGGGGTCTGTTTTTAACATGTGGCTCAGGTGATTGTCACTATCAAGCCCATTTGAGAAACCCTACGTTAGGGGCGTGGTGAAGTAAGTGTAGACCTTCTGGAAGGAGCGACAGCAGCCCTGGGTTCAGGAGTCTAGTCCCCGGACCTCTCTAGCTCCGTCTCTCTCTTGTTAAGCAAGTCCCTTGACCTCTTTGAACTTGATTTCTTCATGTAGAAATAAAGATATTGGGCCAGACCTCTTACAGTCCTTACATTTCATTTGTTTTTCTATAAGTCATTAGTACAGTAAGCAAGTATGACACATGGTTTGTGCCCCAAAAGCAACCCCCCCCAAGTTTTCCTTTAATTTAAAATGTATTCGGTGGGAGAAACCTGGCCAGCCCCTCTGCTCTCTTACTCCGGGGTGGTGGATTCTCTTCTGGCTAGTTTAAGTTACAGATGCAGTCTGAACTTGGAGACTAGAACGCCAGTCCTGAGTGATAATCGGCACCCTCCAGTCTTCTCCCTTCTTTGGGTCTGGCTCTGCTTAAGGCTGGAAGCAGCTGGGGAGGAGGTGACACAGGTCCCTCTGCTGTCTGACACCACCCCCACCCCACCCCCACTTTCCCTCCCTAACTGCACTGGTTTTAGACCTGCCAGGATAGAAATCGTGGGGTTCTGATACTGAGAGCTGGAAAGGCCTTAAAACTGGCCCTTGCTCTTGTGAATGGGGCGGGGTGGGGTGCCCCCTGAGATTCCTGTTGTGCCCCTCTCTCCTACAGTTCCCTTAACCCAGGCAAACACCCCGTCTCCATTCGCAGGGTCCCCGGCAGCTTTTGCTCAGCCCCAGGCATCTGGGGACCGCCTTCAGCCTCTTCCGCTGGGATTTCTGACGACTGGCCCCACTGGGTGGGATGTGGGTCACCCCGGGGCCAGCCCTGGTCCTCCTCCCTCGTTGGAGGGAGGGATTCACAACTCAGCAGCAGCTCTGCCTGGAAAGTCTTCCTCCCCAGTTCTTCACCAGATGAATGACCCACCTGCATTTTATGGGGGACAGAGGTGGGTTTGTGGATCCTGAAACAGATGTTCTTCCATTCCGCTGTGCAGCTTGCACACCGCCAGCGCTCAGGACTTGTCCCACTCTCCTGGGTCTTCTGACGTCACTCACGACTGGGTAGGAAGAGCCCTGCTGTAACCTCCAAGCACACGGGACCTGTGTTCCCAGCAGTGAGAGCCTCCTAGGGAAAGGAGGCCAGGCTGCGGGACTGGGAGGCCTGGAAGGGAAGGACGGAGGCCGCTCTGCAGGTGGCCGGCTGCCTCCGGAGCTGCTCCCAAAGCTCTGCTCCTGGCACCTGCTGGCCACAGGCATGCCAGTCCTTGAGGCACCATGTCTATCCTCTGGCCTCCAGCTTCTGGCCAAGGTGTGAGGGGTCCAGACAGCAGCACAGAGGGAAGGAAATGACGATGGGACCTGATACCACCTTATGAGTCTCCCCAGGTTCTCAAGAGGCCAAGGCAACCCTGGGGGGCAAGAAGCAAAGCCCTTGGGAGACCTCCACCGAGGGTCAGGTCATGACCTAGTGCTCCAGCCTGTCTGTCCCCCCAGCCTCTATGTCCAGCCTCCACTGACCTTCCTCTTTCTTCTCTGGCAGGGACTGATGCCCTTGGCCATGAGGAACCCCCAACCACTATTTGCACAGGTGCAGCCTGTGTGACTGAGCCACCGCTGCTCCAGCTGTTTCACGTAAGTGAAGGCACCAGCCAACCCTCTACCCCCACAGACAGGTGTCGGGGACCTGAGTGGGGAGGAAGCTGGATGGAGAGGGAGCTTCAGAAAGTCTGGGTCCTGGACATGGTCCCCACTGAGTCATTGTGCCCCAGACCTTCGAGGACTTGGGCAGAAGCACAGGGACTCCTCCTCCTTCTCACAAAGCTCCCCAAGAAGCAGCCGGCTCGACAGAAACCCCACAGCCTGACCCTGGCATCCTGGCTCAGACACTTGCGGTCCTGTGACCTAGGCTGCCCCTCTTGCATTGTGGAGTTTTGGTGAGATTTTCAGGGACGTGTATTAGTTACAACAAACCTAGCAGCTTAAAAGGACACACACTGATTATCTGAGTTTCTCTGGGTCAGGAATCCCCGCATGATGACCTGGGCCTGCTGCATCCTGGTCTGTCACCTTACAGGGCTCCTCAGCAGCCCTCGGCGTGAGCATGCAGGGAAACAGGGCAGGATCAAGTGATGATGTAGTGAAATCACATAAATCCTCTCTGGCCAGAGGTTCATCTTTCCCCCACTAGATGCCTCAGTGAATTCCCAAAGCCTGGCCCACTATGCATCTGGGCAAAGTCAAGTTGATCTTGAACAGTTTGCAGATGGGATTAAGCTGAGAGTTGCGATTTTCTGCCCCCTGGTGGAAAATTGAAGTAATAACTGCCAGGCCTGTGATGTGCTGCACAGTGAAATGATCTTCCCACTCTTCTGCACAGGATGCAGGATGCTGGGGGGTGGGGGGTATAGGAAGCAATCCAAGACACAACCCCTGAGTGCAGAGGACTGGCAGTTTAGTGGAGGAGTCAAGATATCCCCACGCTAAAAGGCCACTAGCATCCCCCGGAGGCAGAATTTGAAGAAGGAACATGGAAAAAGGCAGTGGAGTCCAGAACTGGGAGAGCAGGGATGGGGAAGATGAGGAAGGCTTCTGCAGCCTTGAAGGATGGGTGGGGTTTGAACAGGTGGAGATGATGCGCTTCTCCATGAAAGCCCCTAGGGAACCCCCTTCATCTCCACAACGGTAAGTCCCAATTTTGTGCCTTGCCTATAGTCTCTCCAGCTACACGCCTGCCCTTACACTTCTGGAACCCTACTACCCCAAAGTCCAGGTGCTTCTCACCCCTGGACTCTTCTTTCTTCCCTGTCCGCCTGTCTCCCACTCATCAGCTCGTGGGATTCAAACATGGCACACCTCCCCACTTCACAGTTGCCCTTCTGGTGTCCCCAGGCCCCGGGACTGTGACGTGGCTGCCTGTCTCACTCCATGTCATAGGATGTGCTGAGTGTCTTCATCACTAAGCTATAAGCTTCCTAGGAACCGGGGCTACCTGACAGGGCCGAGGCGCCACGTGGGGGAACTGGAGGGAGCGGTGAATTGGTAATGACACATGGGAGGGAGGGGAGGGCAGAGGCCTTGAAGCTCCTCACGAAAGTTTGTGCCCAGATAAATGTACACTGCAGACAGCGTGGTGTAGGGAAGGCGCTGGAGCCACAGAGGGGAAGGGGGGCCTGGTGGGAAGAAGAAAACCCGTTAGGAAAGCCATCGCGTCAGTGCGGGCCTGAGATGCAGGGCCCTGACTCGGTGCACTGGAGAACAGAAGACCTTAAGGATTTTAAAGTCTGAGTGACTAGGAGCACATCCTATGGCTCCATCAAACTAATGTATAACTGAACCCCCTTGAGACCTTGGCAAGAGGTAGACTCCGGCTCTTAGGCCTCAGGGGGGACCACGTTTCCAGCCAGCTCCCCCAGGATGCCCAGGCCTGGTCCACAGACCACAGGCAGCAATGAGGCTGCTCAGCACCCCTAAGTGAATTGAGAACAGTGCTACTGTGAGGAAGGAGCCCTCCAGAGCAGAGCGGAGGACAGGAGGAGTCTTTGGGTGAAGGAAAAGGTACCTCTTGCTCCTGGTGAACACACAGGATGCCCAGCATGGTGAGCAGCGTGCTGGTGAGGTCTGGCCCCCACTTGAGGAAGGAACAGCCTGCCACGCCCTTCAGAGAAGCCTTGGTGGGACCCCCGAGACGATGCTCAGAGGTGGGGTGCCTGTGTGGAGAGCAGAGTGATGGCTTTAGCCTGTCCTAATTGAGTTTGAGGTGACAGTGGGGATTTCCGAGTGGAATGGACATCTACTGGCAGTTGGAGACCCACCTGGAGTCCTGCATTGGGCTCTGTGGGCTTGCTGATGAGAGAATGAGAGCAGGTGGAGGATGAGGGACTAGCTCGCCCTCAGGGCCTTCTGCAATGGGTGACACTCTTCTCTGTCCCTTTTTTGTCTTGCAGGTCACCGTTCCCTTTACTGAACGTAAGTGCTTACAGTCATTCTTCCATCCTCCAGACACCCCACCGGCCAGTTCCCTGGGAGGCCCGGGCAGCCCCTTACTGGAGCTTGCCTCCCCCTGTACATCGGCAGGACCAGTCTCCCAGCCTGGACACAGCCTTCCAGGAGCCTGGGCGTGGCCCACCCACTCCCTCTGGTCTCACCTCGCCTTGTTTACCATCAACTGAAGGCGAGGAGAGTTGCCCCCAAAAGGAATGTGGGCTTGATCAAGGGAAGAGCCAGGACCATCAGTGTCTGTACCCAGGGGAGCAGCAGTAAGGACAGGTCCTTGGGGGAAACGGACTGGGCAGAATCCCAGCCGATCCATCGGGCCTCAGCTCCTCCTGTATGGAACAGGGATGGTTAGTGACCATCCCAAACTGTCCCTGTGAGCAATGAAGGCCTCCCGTGGCCAGAGCCTCAGCCCCCTACAGAGGCCGGTATTGGAACCATGGGGCCAGGGAGGTCAAGAAGGAGGTAGGGAGAGAGGAATGGGGGCAAGAGGACTGAGGAGGAAACAATAAGAACCTGTGACATTGGAAATGGGGAGCAGAATTAGCACCCGCCTCCTCCCTGGAGTCCGTGGGATGATGCTACAGTGATGGAAGCTGTCCCCACGAGCTCTTCTATAGGCCAGTCCTCTACTCAGACACCCACCTGCGTCACCAGCTCATTTTATTCCACGGGGAGTAACAGCTCTCACTCACCCCAGCTCAGGCTGGCCCCAGCCCCAGCCCCAGCCCCAGCCCCTGCCAATCTCAGGCCCCGGGGCGCTGAGGCCCTCCCAGCTCCTGCTGCCCTCAGGTCCCCTGCGTCTCAACCTCCGCACACGTCTTTGCAGAGTTGGATGGGGCATCGGGCGGATGACCGCGGGAACGGTCGTGATCACTGGCGGAATCCTAGCTACGGTGATCCTCCTCTGCATCATCGCCGTCCTGTGCTACTGTAGGCTCCAGGTCAGTCCCCTGGGCCTGTGGCTGGAGGCTGCCCAGCCACCGGCAAGCCACTTCATTATGGGGGCAGAAAACTGGAAGCCCACTTTGGGCCCAACAAAGCCCAAAGCCATGGAGTGTAGGAGACCTAAGTCCAGGAGGCTGGGAGCTGTGGGTGGTCGGAAGGGAGCCACGCACCACCCTCTGCACCCTTCAGGCACCCAGGGAGTGGCCAGGAGATCCTGGGTCATCACATTCACCTGAGGTTTTGGGAGAGGTGGGAAGGCCACCCTTCGGGGGATACTCTGAGAGCTGCTCCTGGAGAGCCCTCAGCCCTGCCTTCCACTTGAGATGTGTGTCCTTCTCTCGGCCCTCCTCAACCGTAGCCTGGAGTTACTACACTGAGCAACAGGGAGAGAAAAGGCCAGGTGTACCCGGGGGCGGGCGGGCACCACCTCTCAGCCATCTCTGTCCCCTCCCCGCAGTATTACTGCTGCAAGAAGAGCACAGCTGAAGATGCAGACCAGGAGGAGGACGAAGAGGAGGAGCATGGCCTTCCCGCCCACCCCAGGGGCCCCACCTGCAATGCCTGCAGCTCCCGAGCCCTGGACGGCAGAGGCAGCCTGGCACCTCTCACCGGCGAGCCCTGCAGCCAGCCGTGCGGGGTGGCCGCCGGCCACTGCACCACCTGCTCCCCCTACCACGCCCCCTTCTACATACGGACAGCTGACATGGTGCCCAACGGAGGTGGAGGCGAGAGGCTCTCCTTTGCTCCCGTTTGCTACAAGGAGGGGGGACCCCCATCCCTCAAACTGGCAGCGCCCCAGAGTTACCCGGTGACCTGGCCAGGCTCTGGGCGTGAGGCCTTCACCAATCCAAGGGCTATTAGTACAGACGTGTGACCCCGTCCACCCCAGCCAGCACACACACCAACGCTGCCACCCGGAGGAGCAGAGGAGGCGGCCAGTGGCCCTCCAACAGCCCCACGAAGACTCCTCGTTTCTTTGGCCTTTCTTGCTCCACGGCGGAGGGCTCGAGCTGTTGAGTGCTTTGAGAACCAGGGCAGGCCTGGCTCCCGCCSGCCCCGTGGCTCACAGGTGGGGGCCCATCTGATAGGCTGGCCCTGCCGCTCCCCCAGTTTCCCTCTGACTCCCCTCTGACCACCCCCTGCATCACCACAACCCCTTCCAGGATCCCCAAGCCCCGGCTCTGCTGGCTGGCAAAGGAGCCCCAGGGAACACGGCTCTAGGGGCCTCTGGAGCCTGTGGGAGAGGAAGCGGCCAGGTCCAGAGGAAAGGGGCACAGAGGGCAAGGGGAGAAGTGAGGACTGGACACCCAGAAGTTGGGGAGGGCAGGGAAGGTGAGGCCTGCATGCTGGGGTCAGCCAGGAGCTCGTTCACAGTCCAGTTTTCTACCTTGGGGGCCAGAGCTAGTACTGTCCCTGGAGCGGCTCTGCTGGGCCTGTTGATGACTGAACGTCCCACACCTGCCTCTGCACCGCCACCCCMCGGAACACCGAGCTGACCTTAAAGGTCGTGGCACAGGTTATGTAGGGTCTGCATTGAATATCCCTATTCAATCCCCTCCCCCACCGCATCCTTTCTCTGCCTTAGGAACCAGCTGCCCCCTGCTGGAGAAGCTTTTCAAGTTGTTCCTAGAGTTCTAGAAACTTAGCTCTGAGATCCCTCTGGTCCTCCCAGGCCCTGGTCCACCTCGCTTAGCGCCATGCATGGCCACAGTGCTGTGGGGAGGTGTGCGTTCCTTTCCCCAGGTGCACACGCACCAGTCACCACCAGCAGGCACTGAGGGCTTTGTCACAGTCAGTAATAGCTGCCCAGGACAAGCGTCCAGGGACACCAATGAGCAAGAAAAGCCGCAAGAACAGAGGTGATATTTTAAAATTGTTTTTTAGTTATAGATGAACACAATACCTTTATTTTATTTTATTTATTTTTATGGGTGGCTGAGGATCAAACCCAGTGCCTCACATGTGCCAGGCAAGCGCTCCACCACTGAGCCCCAGCCCCAGCCCCCAGGAGGTGATTAGGGGGCCAGTCCCTATGGCAACCAGACAGAAGGTCCAGGAAGAGCCTGGAGTCCATGGGGCAATGCTGCAGTGACTGAAGCTGCCCCCACAAGCTCCTCCAGAAGCCAGGGACTCCACTTGGGCATCCACCCGTGTCACCAGATCATTTTGTCCCACAGGGAACAACAGCTCTCCCGAGCACTAGAGGGCTTCTGAGGATCAGGTGTGTCTTGGCCATTGACTTTTGTGCTTGCTACCCTCCTTGGCCACCCCACTCTCCGGTCTCCTGCTGGTGGGACATTTATTGCTGTTTCACTCTAGTCCCAAGTTCAAGTCCTGCTTACCACCCTGCAGTGGCCTTATGCTTTTTAAGTCATATATCTGATGCAATTTCCAGTAGCTTCTGCAGTAAAAGGTGGCTGTCCCCGCTTCTAAGGGCATAGCTAACCCCTGCCCACTCCTGAGTCGCTGGATGTTTCAGATAGCGGCACAGGGATGAGGCTGGCCTCCCTGCTGAAATCCTAGTATTCGACACGGGTAGGTACAGTGGAGGGAGTGGGAAGGGGTCGCCCACCTCACGCCTCCACCTGGAATCTGAGCACACTGGGTTGAGAAGCAGAAGACCTGGGCTCTGGCCACATTTTGGTCACTCATTGGCTCTAGGACCAGTCACTTCTCTAAGACTCTATTTTCTCCAGGAAGACGAGGGTGAAGTCTCAGGGCCCCCTAGTGCTGTAGGAAGTGAGGGCTTCCTAAAAACAGGTGCAGCCTGGCTATTCCCTCTCGCCCTCCTCCTGACGGGGGATGGATGTGCTCCCAGCTGTCTGATCCTGTGTACGGGGATGCTGGTTGAACTCTGTCAGACAGACATATTTGACCCCCACGGAGTGACCTCCTCAGGTGGGAGCACTGCTTCTGCAGCAGGAAGCAGCTCCAGGTGCGTCAAGGAGATTTGTCTCCCAGTGCAGGGGAACGGCATTGATCCCTTTCCTGGGCTAATGTAACCCTGTGATGAGCTGCTGGGCTTGGCCGCCCTCCCTGCTTCCTGAGGACCAGCCCCGGTGCCTTGSGCCCCTTCAATTCCACAGCCGATGACCCCAGGGCCACAGCCTTCCCCACCAAAAATAACAACTCCATCGTTGCACCTCCTGCCTGGGAAGAATCAGCACAACCCAGCTCACCACCACCCGCTTCTTGCCCCTGATCTGTTGGGGTCCCTGAGGACAAAGCATCCCACAGCACTGTCTCCTCCGGCAGCTGTCCCAACCTAACTGCTCTTAACCCAAGTCCGAATCTAGGTCCGGGTGTTAGAAGGCAGGCCACTGCCCTCCCTCTGCAGCCCTCACTGCTCAGAGCACAGGCTCCAAACCAGGCTCAGGCTCGCTTGCCCCGCTGTGGCTGCCGGGCCTTGTGCCGGTCAGCTTTTCGTCATTGTGACCAATGATACTCGATCAGAACTTAGAGGAGGAAAAGCTTATTTGGGCTCCATCAGAGGTCTCAGTCCATGGTCAGTGGGCTCCATGGCTTATGGTGGAAGGGTGTGGCAGAGGGAAGCAGAGCCGGGGAGAGAGAAGGGGCCAGGGACAGAAGCAGCCCCCGAGGCCACATTCCCAGTGCCCTGCACCTTCCAGCCACACTCCAGCTGCCTAGAGTTCTCACCAGTTCCCAGAAAACCCATTCAAACTATCAATCTATCAAATCATTAATCCACAGATGAGTCCTGAGCCCCCAGGACCCAATCATTGCCTAAAAGCCCCACCCGGGACCTTGCTGCGCTGGGGAGCCTGTGTTCCAGGCCCAGACGGTAACAGGCCTGCCCCGTGGAGGAGGAAGCTCACCCCACTCGGCCACACTGTCCTGTTAGCTGTGGCGTCTACTACGGGACACTATTTATACACTCTTCAAACTGAACCCTAAACAGAAGAGAAGGAGGCGGGGCCCATCTTCGCCATCTTTCTCGGCCTCCACTTCACTACTCCTGCAGATTTCTTGTCTTGCATCTTTGATAACTTGGAGTCACAACCAAGTGAATGTCAAAATAAATGAGAAATTTGAAATAGAAACTCCACAGGGTTCTCCGTTCTTCTCCCGGGGAAGGGGCAACTGGGCATGGATTTTAGAGGGAACGCTCCATTTCAACAGCCAGAAGGCCCGTTTCCTCTCCTCTACTGCTCACATGAGGCCTCACCTGCTTCAGGCAGCCCCTCCTGGGCTCTGCTGGAGTTCACATCCAGGGAGGATTGACTGCTTTGGGGGAGAGGGATTGTGCTAGCTGCAACCCAAGGCTGAGAGGTTCTGCCTGTTTTGCTGAGCCTCACTGGCCACAGCCAAGTGTGTTGGGCAGAGATGACAAAACAGGAGCCTTATAGAGTAGTGATGGGAAAAGACTTTGTATGCAAAAAAGAGAACTCGGGTATGAAGCCAGAGTGTGTCTGCATCTGTGTGAGAGAGGCTCTCGCCCCACCTCGGGGTCATGGCAGCCATAACTAGAGCCAGGTGGCAGCAGGCACCCTGGCCTGAGCAATCCGCACCTGCAGCAGGCCTTCCTGAGCACTGGGAGCACAACTTTACCCCAGCGCAGGGAACGCTGGCTGCAGCTCTGTCACCACAGTCCTCTGGGAACAGAAACCAGGCCCTGAGGCAAATCTTACCACGGCACCCGTCCCATCCTCACGTCACCTTTAAGCTGCTCCCCACCCTCCCCCGATGTCTGTACCCTCTCTACCCCAGTCCCCATTCCAGTGACCACCATTCCTCTGTCACCTGTCTGCTCCCTCTGTGGAGAACCAGGGAGTCCGTGATCTCCCAGAACACACTGCATGCACGTGTGTCTCTGGGTGCCCTCCCGGAGAGCAGGATGCTCATTGGAACACCCCATCCTCCAGCCCAGCACACAGCACCCTCCAGATGGCATCACCAGCCGGTGGGCATTGTGTGGGGACAGCCGAGAGAGGGAATGGAGGGGATCCTGGGTCACAAGGCCATCGTCTCTTTTCTCTCTGGCAGCCACAGCAATCTAAGGGTGGTGGTAGAGGCTGGAATTCGAGTGAAAGTTCAGTGTGAATCTTCCTGGCTCCACCACTCACCCCGGGACTTCAGGGATGTTTTGAACTTTTCTGTGTCAGTTTCCTCATCTGGAAAATTGAGATCCTAATGTCTACCGAGTTCACTGTTGTGAAATTTAGTGAACTGATGCCTGGCACCCGAGGTCACTATTCCCATTTGTAGGATTTGTAGACAGACTTGTATCTGCACGAGAGGGGCCCACGTGGGGCTTGCTCAGGCTTCGGGGTGGGAGGCTCCTCTGGGCTCCACTCTCTTGTTCCACCTTTACTCATGCTCACGCCTTTACTGAGCCCCTCTCCCTGCCCGAGCCAGGCACTGCTAGGACTAAAGCCCTGTGCACTTCTGCCTCCCTCTTCGTTTGGACCTCTCCCTCCCCAATGACTCTGTCTGTGACTCCGAGTGACCCACGTGCCGGTCAGCCTGAAACTGCATTCACCCCAATGAGCTGAAGGAAGGAGGGGGTTCTTGTCTTCCAGCTCAATGCACAGCTCTCAGTTTGGCTGTGCTTCTGGTTTTGCTGGTTCCCAAGTTCAGTGCTTGGGTTGTAAAGCCGATCTGGGGACAGAGAGGACCTCTAGCCCTTTCCTGTGAGCCTGGATTCCCGTGAGCCTATTCCTGGCTCTGCTGGGCTTCACTTAGAACCTGCTATACTCTCTGGCTTCCCTGCTACAAGAACGGGCAGGGACTCCAGCCGTCTTAGGGGAGAGGGTGGGAGGCAGATACCTGGTAGGGAAGGAGGGGAATGCACTCGTACACCCATGCACCCATGCACCCATGCAGAACACCCTGTGCCTTCAGAGTTAGGAAACC